TATTTTTTATGGTGAAAATAGTATTTATTAGAATTACCTTTAGTAGGAGAGCTTTTATTTCAAACCAAGTAAAGATCAGTTCGCCACATCTGTCAAAAATATTACCGCGTGCAGTGCACTCACTATAGGAAATTCTGATAGAAAGTAAATTTACCATAGTGAAATCCTGCAGGACGCATTACTATAGGAAATGTCAATACTCAATTGAAATGCTCGGAGTGGGACGAAACCCGTACACAAAAGTGAATCTCAAGTTGTGTGCGCGCATGGGTTACTATGCGTACGCATATTCTTCAAAGCTGTTCTCGTTGCTAAGTCAACACAGTTCCGCACAGCCCCCCACCTATCTCCACATAATTCCGCGTTTTTCAACCATTTGTGTAACATTTGGCACTTAATATTTTCTGAGTGCATGTTTAATATATAAAATTGATGAATATATAGCTTCATTTTGACATGGACAAATGAACTTTATTACATTCATTGCTACATCATTTTCTTCGAATAACGCGTGAACGTAATAACTTTGCATAAAAAGTACAAAGCGATTCACTTTATATACGGAGTAAGAGAGAAAAAACTTAAAAGAACGATAGACATTGAAATAAAACCCGCTTAAGCAATGTTTCATTGGCGCTTTAAATACCATCCAAATGATTAAAATCCAAATGTATTTATTTTTAAATGGAATTAACGATGAATGGACGTTCTATGGGTATTTAAGATGAAATTGATGATGAAATGTATTGTTAACGAATCAGTTCAACGATGAAACAGACATTTCTTCGTCCTATGTGTAACACTGTTGTCACTTGAAGACACGTGAAAGACGGGAAAAAAATCCGAAGAGGACTTGAACGATGCTTTTGATGTTTAATTGAACTTTATTGCGTCTGCTAAAGTTTAACTACACTGTACTTACAAAATTGACATACTTTAAAAAAAAACGTACAGGATCCGTATGATTTCGCATAAGAATGAATGATTCGAGCATGGACTTAAATGAACGAAATGACTTTTTGTCTCACCTTTTCATTCGATTTGGTCTCCGTTCTGAACAAAACTTCCATTCAATCGATTAAATTACCCTTTTAAGCTTAACAACGAACTTGACTCCCTCTTATTTACTCAAAAACCCACTTTACCATTTCCATGAAATCCGTCAAATGAGAGGTGAACAAATGGTAGAGATACTTTACAAAGCACTAAGCACGTAGTCATTGGATATATAAATCATAGCCGTACAAAAACAAAAAACCCACTTAATTTAAGTTTCTGAGAATTTCCAGATGTTGTAAAGGTGTAGCCTTAATACAAAAACTTCGTTTCATATCGAATGATTCGCAGTAGGGGAGACTTAAGTTAAAATATATTTGCCGCTTGGAGATGACTGTGTCAAGAAATTAATTTTTCGGAAAAACTAAAGAAATTACTCTTTTATGATATTTTCAATGGCTTTAATTTGATTTTCGCCGCTGTTTTGAGTGCATTTTATTAATATTTTGAAAATATAACCAACTTTGTTTGCCATTTTCCATTCATTTTATTTTGGCAGTTCGCATAAGGAGAACTTTTTGAATTGTGAATCACATCACTAATTAAATTTCATTTTCGCAAAAGAAAATCGTTACAAAAATCAGTTGAGATAGGCGGATTGTAGCTTTTATTCATTTTGTATCATGACAAAGCGTTATAATTTATGTCATGCAACATCAGTTTGGAATAATCTTTTGACAAAACAATGTGCTATTAATCAGTTTCAATACGTTTGAACCGAGTTGAATGAAATTTCTCTCTCTCTCTTTGTCTCTCTGCCATGATGAGACTAAATCATACTCCACAAAAAATGCAAAAAGACAGAAAATATTGTAATGAATGTGCATTTGTTTTCATGCTCGCCAATCGTATTATTAATATCGTGGTTGAAAAGCTTTTAGCAAACCGAAGCTTAATCCCCAACGACTTTGACCTATAAATTTAAATGACAAGTGATGATGGAAATGATGATGATAAAGATGGGTCGACTATTAATTTCAATCTTTGCCATTTTATGTATTTGCAATTGTTTGGGTTTTAATCAGTCCGAATTTTAATTGATATACAGGATGGTGGTTTTTTTGAAATTTTTGTTGTCTATGTGACCGCGAAAACTTTTTCCATTTTACTAATGGATATACTACCAGCAGTTCTACATTTTTTTTCCATTTCACAGTAGTGTGTTTATCCGCATCAGTGAACAATGCAAAAACTAGAAATACAGGCCGCACCACCAAACTGACTGATACGAATGGCATAAATTATATGTGCGCGACTATATGGCACAACCAATCCCGACAGGAATTACAATCCTCTTTTTTCTGCCGCTGGTTGTCGGGAAAATTGAATTGAATCGAATAAAGTGACATTATATTGATATGGGCGCAATGTTTCTATCTCTTATCGATGCACAGCATACCATTTTTGCTTCCGATTACCGGTGCTGACAGGTACACATTTTTTCTATCTCCTTTAAATCATAAAAGTTTTCCTTCAATAATGCCATCGATGGAAATTGAAATTGTTGGCAATGAATTTTGATGTGGTTGTGTCAAAAAAATGCCAGCACGTATGGTTTTTTATTTGCTTTTGTTAGCGTGTGCATGTGTGTGTGTGCTTGCGTAATAATGACTTTTCTTGTCCAAAATGCGTTCTCTTTATGTATCAACAAAAAAATGGACCAAAGTGCTGAAATATTCATGATTATTGTCAGTTTTGTTTTTATATGGTTTCATAACTGCAAGCGATATCTTCGGTATCATAAATGATGTTTGCAATTGATGTGTAGCAGTCTGTAGTTATGACAGTAATGCTTTAAGTTTCAGAAATTAGCGCAATTGATATGATAAGTTCACACATGCAAAGGGAAAACCACTAAAAAAGCTTCGGCCCTATCATGTAAAACAGTGGAGTTTTTTTTTTGTTTGCTCACATCATTCCGTTTCACTTGCTTCTCCAAATAAACTGTCCAAGGCTATTTCGGGACTCCGTTTTTTCACAGTTTCTCGGAAAGAACATTGATCTTTCATGTACGTTTATTTGCACTGGTTTGAATTTTTATTCACTCTTCTCTCTTTTATGCGCTCCAATCAAAAGTAACAACAAAATAAACATAGTTGGTATATGCGCTATTCAATATGTATTAATACAATGTTGGTAAAAAGTTTTTGAAATTTCAATGCTCAAGGGGAGGTTTAAAATTTCAATTTATCAGCTGGAAGTAGTTTTGAAAATCAACAGGGGTGTTCCGTTCTATTAAATGAAATGTCCCGGAAAAAAATAATGTGAGAAACTTAAATAGTGATTGAATTTTTAATATGTTACGATAATTGTTGCCTTTCAATTTTTAAAACAAGTATTTGGAGTGGGATGTCGATAGCTCTAGGGAGGTTCATAACACCCTACATATGAATTTTAATTTCACTTATTACAGTCATGTTCGTACAACACAAATCAAAGCAAACAACTTTGGTTTGGTTCAATTCGGTGACAGTGTACATATTTAATAACAATGTTTATTTATGACGAGTAACTGATGCATTGAGTTCAAGCTCATGAGCACTCTCTTTCTTTCTCTTCCTTGCTGACGGATGAGCATGGTTGTTTAGTGTGATGATTTGACGTGAGAAAGTGAATCTATTGTCACAAAGACTTCTTGAGTCATTGCAAAAGTATGATGCACCAATTATATGGTTGTTATGTGCAAGATCCGTATTTATCAAGCTGGAAAAAATTCATATTTTTCACTATCTCGCCAAGAAAATGCTGCACATATATTCTGTAGCTAGTTCTTTGAAATGTTGATTTTTCGTTCAACAGATTCTTTCAAAATGTGTCATCCATTTATGAATCATCGGAGGAAAATACGTTTTAGCCTTTCTCGGCTTTATCTGTGGTTGTGGTTTTTCGGTTTTAGTTTATTGTATCATTCGATCATCACTCTCTCTCTCTCTTTCCGTATATCTCTTAGTTGCATGTCTGCTTTTGTTCGATTAGAGGTTGTGAAGCGCAGCAAATGTAAACGAAGTTTGTGCTTCATGTTCATGGCACATACCAAGACCAAGATGAACATTTATACTTTAGAATCTTTGTTGGCGTCGTTAATTTCGAACAGAAAAAATGATGCCACTGTTATCCAGCGTGCTGAGGTGCTCTTATTTATTAGTTGAATACGTGACAAAACTAAATTTAGACAACCAACACACATACCATTGATTTGGATACGGGCACAGAAAATTTACCATCGAAACAGTCACGTTATTATCAATTTATCACTTTTTTGTGAAGTTTTTCGCAATAACATATTTATCGGTTGTATCTCTTCCTCAGCACAACATTGTTGACGATAAGTTAGTTACAGAAGTAATACGCTTATGAAAACTACCAAAGTAAATTTCCAAAAGTTTTTATGGAATGCCATGTGTATATGTACATGTACAGCATCCAACATTGCTACGTGCACGCAGTGGCATGTATTTTATATGGAAAATAGTGCACGTAGCAATGTTGGATGCTGTACATTTTATCGAATTGCATGTACCCAGTCAATTTTCGGTGTGACATTGAACCAGAAGATCCAGAAAGTCATGTTTACTCAAATACTGACGTGCTGATTTTTTTGTAAAGTTCATAATCACAGTCCTATATCGGATTTTATATCCAGATAAATGTATGTGTAAAAAGATCTACCATCTCCGGAGCATTTCACCGCAAGTTATTAATTTAAATTCGAATCAACAACATTGTCGAAAATTCAAAAACTCAAACAAATGAATGAAAACAAAAGAAACTTTTGTTTTTGCGGTCACTTCGTAAAAACTTTTTAGATTACTCTTCGTTCGAAGTTTAATTGGACAAAAGTACATGTTTTAAAGCGAACGGTGAATGTTTCAATATTTTTTTTGCTCGACTTTCTGTCACAACGTTTAATGATACTTTTTCATGTACTTTCTTTTTATATCTAGGTTGAACAAATTCAAGCGGAGTACAAGAAATTGGCGCTGGAATTACACCCGGACAAGAACAGCGGTGATAAAGAAGCCGAAGCCAAATTTCAGAAGATTCAGGTTATTCAGATTTGTTTTTTTAAAATAATCTTTTAAGATATTTTACTACCAATAATTTGATGGCATAAAACGCTGAATTACCAAAGCTATGACTAAAACATTTGCCATGTAATTTCAACACACTTGTGAGTGATTTTTTTTAGCCACTTAGAGCTGATGACTGTGACTAACAGTCAATGCACAACAGTTGTACCTTTGGGACTGAATTACCCAAATTCAATTGGAATATCTGTCAAAATGACTACTGAATGTCACATTTAGTTCGATTCACTAATTGATTGATTTCAATTGATACTGGTTATTAATGACTCCAAGTCAGGTATAATTACGTTAATTTACCAATAATAAATAAAAAAAATCACCTGCGATTCGTTGAATGACCAAGAGATTTAATTTTTAGCTTACTTAAGGAACTTTCAGTGATTTTGTTCCCAAAATAGTCACGTAAAAAGTCAAAACTGTTGACTCGACATTTTTCCATTGTGTTTTCAATTTTATAGAAGTGATTCTTGAGCTCTAGATGAAATTCCATTTGTGTAAATGTATAGAAATCCTGTTCGGGTGAATTCACAACAACAATACCGATATTTTTACAATTCGCACTAAAATTAATGATAGATAATAGGGTTGGCGGTCAAACGTCCCCGAACAGACGAAATGTCCGTCCGTCAAAGTCCACTGCCTTTCATGCATTGTCGGACCAAAAATGTTGGACGGACGGACGGACATTTCGTCCGTTCGGGGACGTTTGACCGCTAGCCGATAATAGATAGAATGAAGTAATTTATGTTGGAACCTTAAAGAACCGTTCTTTCCTTATTTTCTAATACTGATTCATTCGAAGAATGATAGCGAATCGTTGATATTTTTCTTGTTTTCGATTCGGTGTTGTTATCATCAATAGTAGCAATGATAAAAGCGTAACGAAAGTGAAAGTGGATATCGCTGTTGAGTATGGTCCAACTCACATACAATGGATTTTTCGTTTGGATTTTATATAAAGCATTAAATTGAAAACTATATGCTATCTGCTGACAAACCGACAACAATGACTGAAACGCAAAGACACTCACAAACACTCACACGCATACAATCACATTAAGTGGATCATGAAATGCCATTTCAAAGCCGTCAGATTTGATATGGCCCAAATAAATAAATATATCATTTATATGTGTATGTAACTGTTGATCTCGAGAAGTGAGAGACTATAAGCGAAGTGTATAAGCCATATATGAAATTATACATGGTCAATAATTTCTATTGTTGTTACTGCATATCTTTTATCATATATGTTTTGTTCAGTCTTCCAATATTTTTCTAATTAAGGAAAAACAATGACGAAACATTTACGGTCGGAACCTTAATCAAAGGCAAATATAGCAATGCTGGGCGTATATATACACTATGTACATGAAGTTAATGAGCAATGAAATTCAAATGCGGAATGCATAACAAACAATGTGAACGGCTAAAAATTAATTGTTTAACCGAACATGAAATAAATTGCGTTCAACCCTTTTCACATAATTATTCTGTTATGTATTGGGAATTGGATTTATTTTAACAATGAAAAATAAAAAAAATACGAGGAAATTATTTTAAAAGATTCTTTTTTGTTCAGTTTTTTGTGTGTTCAATCGCTAAATAGCAAAAGGAAGATGAAATTTCGTTCCTTTCTCATAAAATACATTAAACTCCACTTAGAAATTCCGAAAAGTATTAACTTTGTTGTTCCAATCTTGCTGACTTGATCTCGGATTTCATTGTGACGCTTTTTTTATCGTAAAGTTTATTCAATTTTGGCGACGAACAAATTGAGAGTGAGAAAAGGGCATTTTCCTTTTATTTGACGTCAAGAACATGTACCACAAACCAACCCAACGGAACACAACATGCCAAAGTAATTGGACCCAAACTGAGTCGATGGCAGAAAAAGAGGCCATAACATAAATAAGGTTAGGATAAAAGTCACGACAATCGTATTCAAATACACAGCACATAAGCAAAATATTTGTTAATGTCGATGCCGAAATAAAAAAAAAATAAATAAATATGGAAACAATTTACATTTCTCGCATCGTGCTCACCTCAATTCATAAACCAGTGAATAATTTGAATTTCAAATTGATCGTGGAAAATGGCAAAAATAAAATAAAACGAGTAGATTAAATTCACTTAGTAGGTGTCAAAAATGGATTCAAAATGCCATCGCTTCATAATAATGTTGAGTTGCCAGCAGAAAAATTACAACCTAGGAAAATTCGTAAAGTGAATATTAAATTACCAAATGAAAACATTTACTCGATATAGAGCTGAACTTAGTGTATTTCAATGTTAAAGTTCATTTTGTAGAGTGTAGTGTAGTGTGCACGTCTTTTATACCCGTTTGATAGCATTGCTGCGTGTGAAAGTAAAGCAATTAAATTGAATATATTCAAATTGCACCAGATAACCTATTATTATCTGATTCGTAAATGAAATACCGTGTCACTAGAGTTCAGTGGCGTACGTCTGAGAGTTGTTTTTGATTTCAAGCTCTCCCTTGACGTTGATTAACACAAGATAAAATTGATTTTCTTGATTTGACATAATCATTCCAATTAAATTAAAATCCTTTATTGCAACACATATAAAATTCATAATTAAATATCCAACGATAATTAGGTTTATTGGAATCAATATATTTCGATAGTGGAAGCGTTTGAAAATTATTGCCAGGGAATAAATCTTCGAAATATTTTGTGATTTTAATCACATTTCAATAATACAACCAATTGAATCTTGCTTTCTGATTAGAAAAACTCAATGAGCGCTAATATCGTCGATTTTTCTTTATCGATTCCACCAATACGACATCTACTGAAAAACTCGCCGATTTCTGTTACTAGTGGTGTTTTAATACAGCTCGTGTAAACGTACAAAGGAACACACTGACTCCGATTCTGTGTATGCGTATGTATTACAAATTATAGGGTTTTTGGTTCCAAGAGATCTTTTTCCGATTTGCTAGGGATCTTCACCTCAAAAAGTGACTTCCAAAAAAAACGAAAATTTGTCTGATTTGCTAGAGAATTTTTTGGTTTCGAAAAATCAAAAAAATCACCCCTGAAAAATTTTCCTCGCACACTACTGATGTACGCATCTGTGAATGCTTGATTTTTTAAATGAATTGGATGAATTTAAATGCTAGTTAAATAGAATTTGAGTTAATGATTTTTTTTCTCTCTCAAAGGAGTTGGTGATTTTCCTTCATATGAAGTGAGTCTACCGTCAAACGTCAATATATTATCGAACCCTTCTATGAAATGTAAGTAATTCCATAGAAGGGATCGATAAAATATTGACATTTGACAGCAGACTCACTTTTTCACGAACTTCTTTCTTTTTTTAATGAAATACAAACTTTTCATTTACCAAAACTGAGATAAGGATTAGGAGTTATTCAAAAAACAGCTCAAACGGAAATTGATTTACTGAGTTTGGGTCGAAAGACATCCTACTATGCGCGAATAGCAATTTATACGCAAAATATAAAAATTTTCCTATTCATACGTAAAATATACGGAGAAATGAATATTCATCCAGATTTATGAAAATTCGTACATTTTATTCGCAGCTATTCGCGTATGTCGCATACGAAATAGTTTCAATCTATATTGAGTGCTTTGAGTATTAATCGAGAATTTTAGCAGTGTCTTTTGGATTGCATGTACTCTGAAACAATTCTATTTACCGTTTTTAGGTAAATAACAAAAATGTAGAATAATTTCATATCGATTGGGTTCAAACATCTCTCATGTGCGATATTCCTAGGTTTGGGCCGATGAAAATGAAAGATACGAAATTATTATGTACATATGACATCGAATAACTTGAAATTCAAGTTGTTTGGTTGACATCAAATAACAAACTCACTTTGAATTCCAATCATTCTTTACTTTTGTTGCTTGATATCATTTCGATTTAATCGATAGAACCAAGGATTTTTAAATGACATCGGTTTGATTGATAAACATTTATGTCAACGACCTAAAGAAATAACTCTTTCGAGAAGTTCGATTTCCCTTAACCTAAAGCAAATAACTATTTAAACAATATGAAACACATTTATTTGATTCAATTTTATTTATGTAATTTGAAAAAAGTCCTACTACAAAAAGCAACTTTGGTCAATCCAATAATTTTTTTCTATCATCTTTATTTGTTGATGAAAGAAGAAAAAAGTAACCAATGATGGCAAGATAAAAAGGTTTAGCTCATTTGGCTCGTTAAAAAAATTGGAAATGAAAAAAAAAACTTCTTCCGATGAAGAGCGAGTTTTTGAACGCTTTAAGAAAGTTGAAAAAGTAACTGTGACGCCTGTTCTGTGTATAATTATGAGTATAAAAAGTTGGTGCGCTAGTAAAACAACATCAGCCAAAATAAAGTGGGAACAGTTGCAACATTTCACGCAAATAATTTCGTTTGACTGAATGAAATAAAATGACACACTCAATTTTATCCGTCAACGATAAACGAGCATCACAAATACATAAAAAACGCAAAATATTACACACTCTTCGGTCAATTTGTTTCTCGAAACAAATCAATTTGATAATGACTTGATTGTATTTCGATATCAGTTTTTACTCCATGTTGTGTATGTGAAAATCATCTCTAGATCAATAGATGATTTATCAGATTTGCACAATCATATTAGTTTTCAGTTACGTATTGACTTGAGGCGTCATTCACTATTTTATTTTATTGCGATGAATTCAATTCGTTTGTATTTGTTTTGAAGGCGCACCCCAATTGAAGCTCAAGCTCATCACTATGAGACAAATTCTTGATTACTGTTTCGATTTTGGTTGGTATCGATTCATTAGAAAATATCTGTGGGGCAAACGAAATCATTTTTGGGATAAAATGTCAAATTAATGTGCGTAAGCAGTCAATAGTTGAACGATTCGAAATAAAAGGAAAATTAAATGAACTCGTCAAAATCTCAATCAAAAATCGTTTATGAAGAAAAATCGAATTGTGGCAAAAAAAATGTAATATACATACATTTTTTTTTTCATTTTCTTTTTCAAAATTTAGGATGCCAAAGAGACTCTGCTCGATCCAGCAAAACGTGCCAACTACGACAAATGGAAAAATAGTGGCATCAAAATCAGTTACAAAAACTGGCTGGGAATGAAGGAGCATGTACATCAGGTAATTTCGATATTAAATAACATATATATTTCTTTAAAACTGCGTAAAATTCCAATAAAGATAGAAAGCAAAAAGAAAATAAGCGAACGCAAAAGTCACTTTAAAATTTTCATTATAAAAAAGCTTGAGCATTCGACGGTTGTGAAACGTTATATTGTTTGCAAGCGAATTAGAATTTGTTTTTTAATTATTTGCATGCCTAATGGGTAATGTGTGTTTGAATTTTTCTCTTCCATATCTTTATAGGACATGTAGCATGATTATTATTATTATTATTAACGATAGACGCTTTACAGACACGATGCAACATATTTTATGTTCCACTTCACTCAACACAGCACTTGATGCTTGTGCTTAAAGAATGGGCTTTTGTTTCTTCCATTGTAAATCCTTTCGTTTTGCTCTAGCTATGCACGTGCTTTTGAATATAACATCAAACATATTTATTTCACACTCATGAGAGAACATATTACCAGCGTATACCGTTAATTCGATGTTATCCTACCTGTCGTGTTGAGAACCTTTCATTCTACCGTTATAAAAGCGCCAAAATTATTATTGCCTAACATCCGATTGATGTCGATCTTACAGAGTAAAATGCAAACTCATCACCTTCACAAACACACACACACACACATACACTTCGGTACAACCAATTCTAGCAACGTTTCAAGGTTAATTAACGCTGTACCTGCCATTTTCTACCTCCATAATCTTTATTTCATATATTTTTCGTCTTTCTGCTAAACCCTGCCAGCTCCGTCACTCTTTTCTTATTTTTACCAAAGTGTATTCCAATTATTCAAATCATAAGATGATGTATGCCGCTGAATACCGGTTATGCCATTCGCATCGCAGCCAATGCCTATTTACATTATTTTCATATGGTTTGATTTGTGTGCAATGTAATAAATCAACGTAATCGGTATTATTACAGTTTACAATGGAAACCAAGCCAAGTGAAAATTTGCCACGATGATAATTCGAATAACATGACCAGGTGGAATGTCAGGAATAATTAATGCACCGAGCTTAGTTATTATTAAAATATCGTGAATGCATATTCCTATCTACAATATAGCGAGAAGAGAATATCATTTACAATGACAAGAAATGCATTAGCATTGATGCATAAGGCTATAGAGCGAACAATATGATCCCATTTAAAATATGAGTGTATTAAGGAAATGCATGTGGACGCTGGATACATCGAAAACTGTGTGTTCTTGCAAAACATTTAGTAAACACCACATTTGTGGTCCAAGTCGAATCAATACGCTTAAAATAGGTCATTGCAATATTAAATCCGACCGCATCGATATGAATCACGTTTGTTCTGTTGTTTCATTATCTTTCTGTATTGTTTTAATATTGGCAAAAGCCATAGCAAATGCCTTTTTTTTGAAATTCTGTCAACTGTTGCTTTACTCTCTCAAACATCCCCGCGCACACACATAAATATTGTTGACTTTTTTTCTTTATTTATTGTCGATTCCAGTTCAATTATTTTTGTTCTGCCTGTTGCTTTTTGAAATTAGTTTTTGTCGACGGATGAATGACTCACATCCATTACAATAAAAAAAACAAAAACAACCAACAACATTTTAGAATTAAGTTAATTAATAATCTTGGGTTCTCCAACTATTTTCGATTTCTCTTAATTGCATTTCGAATATCGTTGCTGTGTTGGGCACCAGTCAATGCATTGGGCCACACCAAAAACCAAGGACCGCATGTTACCAGATCAACAAGGAGTGTCATCAACTGGTTTATCAGCTGGTCAACCGAATCCGGCTCATCGTCGTGCATCAGAGGGTGGCGCTGCATTGTATTTTGGTAATCGCAAAACCGAATGGGGCACCGAAAATTCGGATGTGGCCAATAAATTTCGTAACTATGAAATTTAAATCATTATCATTCAGTATATGCTCAACAATTTTTATTTTTATCCAATCATTTATTTGGTAACCATTTATTGATTTTGGCCAATTACTAATTTTAAAGTGCTCATCAACACATAAATTTATTCATCATTATTATTTCGGTTCGGATTGCATAATATTATTGATATCTAGAAAATTTAAAGCTAATTAAATTCAACGCAATTTGATCAATATTATTATTTAAATAAAAACCATCATCTCTCTTCCACTTTTCACCACCAAGAATCAGTATTTTGTTTTCACATTTTCAATCAAACCATATTATTATACAGAAATACAACCGAAACAAAAAGGTTTCGCAGTCTATTCAAATTTCAATAATTATAAAATTCCATGATAATGAGATGATGTAGAGTGAGTAGAAAGTCAACTATATATTGGAGTGAATGAATGCAATCAGGAGGAAGAACCAAATGCAACCAAAAGACATTTCCGATTCTATGTGTTAACAAAAACTGTTTAAATTATATTACTGCTTAACAGAGAAATTATAGACAAAAATGTTGGTTTAAAAAAGCTTAACTTATTCAATGTCATGTTGTATGGTGCATCCCGTAAATAATTAATAAAAGATTATGAAGTCACAAAGTCGTATTTGATATAATTAAATACATAAAAAAAACAAAAAAAATGTATTTTTAGTGAATAGCACAATAAAAATAGAACAATGAAGGAAGAAACAACAACAATGCTTGACAAACTGACTCATTTAAGACAAACAAAAAAAAAACCAAAAGAAAAAAATTGTAGATTTGCTGCTCGAACAATTTCAATCAAACATTGTAAATGTTTTTTTTTGCGATTTTCTATCTTTGTTGCATCAGTTGAAAGAAGAAACAAACAATATTGATACACACGAAAAAAATGCTTTGCATAAGGACTATAAACATATTGGCGAAATTGAAATGTGAGAATTTTTCGAATCTTTTATGTCGATTTTCCATTGAAATGACACGTAAAAGATGTGAAATGGCATTTTTCATTCAATAAGAATGAAATGAAATTTGAAAAGTTTGTCAAACGTTTGAATGGATTAAATCAAGCATGCACATGTTCATTTGAATGAATTTGATCAAACGGTCTATTTATGCATTCGAAAAATGCCATTTTGCTTGCAATTTTTTTTTATGTTGGAATTTTTATTTTGATCCCTGCAAAATGCATTGATGATGAATGAATGTTTTGATGTGAATCCATGCAAAATAACAAATCGAAAAATTTATGAAACTACAAAAACGAACACAAGAAAAAACTGCTCAGCTCTCCTTCGACGATTGTTATGCCAGTCAAAAGATCAGGAATCATCAAATGCAAAATTCTCAACGTTTTAATTTCAACAATGCGTCACGCAAATGGATTTTTTTAAAAGAAAAAAAAAGAATCAATTTTAAATATATTATTGAGATAAAAAAAAACAAACACTTAGTTCATAAATTGGTTTCCCATTTATTGCAATTCGTACTTGTAATGCCACAATATTAAAAACATATTACAAACACATACACTTTAACTAGAAAAACTGATGTCAATCTTTGTCTAGATGTGAATACAAAACAATTTTATGTGTGAATAAATAAAATGAAGTAATCTTAGCCCTGTATTGGCGCAAAATTAAAACTTTTTCTTGTCACTTCGATTTATTTGCACTGTTTTACACTTTTCAATCATCTGTATTGATTTTATTTTTAATATATCCGTGTTCAGGACACTTTTTTCAATCCGAATTTCAATGTTCCGAATCTAATTGGTTCGTTATAGCTGGACTTTGGGTGCGCGCATTGTGCATTTACCACATAATAAAACCACCAAATCCGACCGCATTGTTTTCGATTGCGCCTCTCATTGCTAATGGCCATACGATTTTAAATATGAACCTATCAATTGAATCCACAAATGGAACATATATACATTTAAAGACTTGATAAAACGAACAAAAAAGATTTTAACACAAACAAGTTATGAGACCAACATGTTATAATAAATAAAATTGTTAAATTACCTGGATAGAGCTTAATTTTTTTTTTATTTGAAAGAAAAACAAAACAAATATTAGATGCCAATGAACGACCAATGACCAATTCTAAACTGACTATTCGAGAGATACATTTCTCCAACACACTGAACACAAATATTGCGAACCGAAATGAATCGTGTCAAACAAAGAACTCGCTCATGACTATTTTTTTCCTCATTTCCATTCATATTTATATACATATATATATATATATATTTTATAATAACATTTATATATAAAGATATATATATGATACTATAAAATCCTTTAATGATTACAAAAGGACTATCTTAAGACATGCAACACTCACAATTGCATTTCAATTCACACTATTGATGAATGCCAATCAACCATTCTTGAACAATGGATTCGTTGTTCAACCAACAAATTTAATGAAACACATACATACATATAATACATCTCAAATGCAAATGCAAATATTAAATTATAATATATATTTTTTAAATGTAAGGTCCATGAAATGAGAAAGAAAAAAACAAATATATGTATGAATATAACACAAACCTCTAAATATATATTTATTGGGCACGATTTTAATGCACACCATCACCGTATGGACTGTATGGACATGATGCAACAACAATTTATTTATCTATGTATATTTATGTGATAAACACATCCATTAAATATATGCTATTACCTGTATGTTGAATGTAAAATTAATGTATTTTCGAATATTTAAATAAATGAAAGATTCAAATTCACACACCAATGATCAGCGTCATTTTTTTAAAATTATAATCTTCTTCTTTTTTAATAAATTAAACACAATTTTATTTTTATTTGAAAGTATTTTTACATTTTTATTGCAACTTTTTGTTTATGTTTACCGAAATTATTCTATGCAAATTTTAAAAAAAGAATGTAATAAGAAGACAATCAATAAATTCACTTCAACATTATTAACACATGAAAATTTATGAATGGAATTCTTTATTGGTAGAAAAAATGCGTATTTCAGAGCATTGGCTATGAATGATAACGAAGATGTTGTTTTTTTTTCTCTTTTTTTCTTTCGCTTACTGTGTATTTAATTCGCTCACTGGATGATCTGGTTCGTGGTCACATGGCAGTAGAAATTCTTGTCCTTTTTCATGTAGCCATTTATTTGAAACTATTTTAAGAAATTATGTTCAAATTGATTAATTGGTTCATGATCAATTTTGTTGAATATTTTCAATTACCCCATTTGGATCCAGTTAAAACAGGGCATGCAGCGTGACGTGTTGAATAATCACCCACACCATCTTTGTGTAAGTTTAGCCAAAAGGCGGCTGTTCCCTTTCTCGGCCACAGTGCAACATTTAGATGTGGAAATACTGTTGCACCGCCTTGAGCCACATCACTCATCTGAAACCAAAAAAAAAAGTTATAAATGTAATATGATTTGAATTTGAAATTGATGAAAAAATCAGAAAACTTTTACTCACATAGAATAAAACAGTTGCAATGCGATTACCAGTTCCGAGTCTGGCAAATGCATTCGTTTCTTCGGGACGTGCAAAATCGAAATGTGGCTCATAATGGCCGCCAATGCCATAATTAACAACTTGCAATTCTTCAGCTGTGCTCACCGTTAATCCTGTCATATCCTCAACACGTACGCCAATATTCCGTATGATGTCATCATCTGTATCTTTCAACCAAGCCGATTTACTAATGCGATATGTGGCTATTTCCAGTTCACCAGTTTTATGGTTTTGAACCGTCGCTCGACGAAACTGTATCACAGAAATATAAAATATTCAAATTACGCAAACGCAAATGTTAATCCGATTACAAGCGCCAATTTAATATTCTACTAATAAATGATATATATTTTTTTTAATTACCCGTGGTTTTGCCATTTGTTTAATCAATTCAATTTCTCGATCATATATCACATCATGATAAACTACAATGTATGGTTTTAGACTAGCCTCTTCTAATTTAAGTGGTGCAATTTTCAAAAATGCTGATTTATTTGTTACATATCGACATTTCAATTGTGCTAATAATTTTCCATCTCGAACAATTTCACCGCGGCACAATTTTTCATATTGTTTACGCTCTTCGGTTGTATATACTTTTGGATCGACAACGCCAATTTTTTGCGGTCCATCATTTAGTTCCGGTGAACCATCATCGCCGCGTAGCATCTTATCAGCTTTCATTTCAATTTCTTTTGCCAATTCTTTTTCATAAAATGCTTTATTACCGACGGCTCGATCATGATTTGGTGATATTGTCAGCAGTTCGTTTGTCATTTCCAATGCCGAACGTATGTCACCTGCAACATTTATGAATAAGTTAAAGTATTTTCCATTCGAAAATCGTCATCGTATTTTATTAATTGAAAATTTAAAAAGTTTTCGCGAAAATATACCATGCGAAGCATACATATTGTTACTTTCGAATGAATTGAAAGTAAAATAATATGCAAAAGGTTACAAATGTTGTGCAACGCAGTGAACGCAAAATGAATTGTTTTCAAAGTAGCAAAAATATATACAGTTTTAAAATGAAAATGACATGCGAGAATTAGATATTTATCTATGCTCGTCGTTTGTTTGGCGAAGCGTTTTAAAAGTTTCTTTTTAAAAAAATTAATAAGTTTGTAATGTGTGAACGATAGCATTGCAATGCTATTAAAAAAGCGATCGAAACAACATTGTTGCTACTTTTGCTATTCATTTCTTTACCTATTAACGGTTAATGCTTAAGATTCACCTTTGGTGACTTCTCACCATTTTGATGGTATGGCTTACCTTGTTTGAACACGGAAAACGCCAAATATTCCAAAATGTCAGCCTTTGGAACGAGAGCTGGCTCGTTGTTGGTGCTGGTGTTGTTGTTATTATTCAATCTAGCCATTGCTTCGTTCATCCACAACAATGTATGGTAAAAATCGCTATTCAAATACGCTTGTCGTCCCATCTCGAAGCAGTCGTGCGACGACATTTGCGAGCTAAAAAAAATCGTGAGCGCAAGTGCAAGAGAATTGTATATAATGTTCGTCTGATATAATAGAGTGTACGTTGTACAAATGTATATATAGTCAAAATAATGTAATAAACGGTGTGCAATGATGTCGCAATGTAATTTCCAAGAACAAGCGTAGTGAATGTAACACGGAATGGTTGAGATGAAAACAAATTTATAGAAAAAACCAATCGATGTGACACCAGTTTTATTCACTATATTTCAATTGCAATCGTTTCACTTTATTCACATTCGATATTTTGTGTGCCTCACCTGTATTTAATTCCATTCAATTCGCCACGTGCAATGGCTGCTGTATCCAAATTGTATGTGTCCTGAAGGCGTGTTAATGCAACAGCCGCACCATTTAAATCTTCTTCCGACGGAAATTTCATGAAATTTCGATGCATCGTTACATTTTCTAAGAATTCTAATTATATTCCATCGAAATAAAGAGAAAGGGAAACAGATAGAGAAATAAAATATCTCTAAATTTACATAAAACGTCAAATCCATGCATTATTCGAATGGAATTAAGAGTAAAGACTCTGCCAATCCATATGCAAAATCAATCAATAGTTAGAGATAATTGAGTCGGTAATTGAATGAATAACATGATTTACAAACCACTAGCAAGATCGTGTGACATCACTTGTTCGACAATGCTCCAGTCGCTGGTCAAACGTTTTGTTAGCAGGTATGCATTTATTGGATTCGATATGTATGTACTTATGTCTCTGGCTGCCTCATCGTGTTCCCTTTGATATTCATTGATTCGCCTGATAATTTGGATAATTTGTGAATGGAGTATGCAAATTTGCAAACAGCCAGCATCCGATACAAAATACCGTTTGCATGGCATAGAAAATAAGATAAAACACAATACAACACAATTAAACATGATAAATAACATTAATGAATTCAATAAATGACGACGAGAAAATACGATTTTCATTTACAGGGCACTGGAAAATGTGATATGTTGACACCATTGTAAATGATTTCCTCGTCGAACATGTAAAGAATGTGAACGGTATGTTTGGTGATGGCAAGGCTTCTTACGTACCTTCTTAAGAAATTCAATTTCTGCTCTTGAGCTTCCACATATGCTTCCAAATTATTGATGAGAACAGCTTCAGTTTCCAATAGTTCTTCCATATCGCTAAGGGCCGTAAATAGTTCAGCCGTACACAATTGCATCATTACAATTGTAATAAATGTAACAAATACTATTTGAATTCCGCTCTTGCTTATTTTCGACGTCATTTTGTCTTAAAATTTAGATGCGATCTGTGTTTTAATAACAAAACAGACAAATTCGAAATTGTATTAGATAAAGTTCGAAGAGAAAAGTAAAACGCAAACACATTTTTTGTTATTCCATCTAATAATTAACTCGTATGCAATAAATTTTATTTGGTAATGCGAAAATATTCATTCAGTCACAATTCGAGAGGCAAAGGAATGGCATGTATATTAAAGACATGGCGACGTGCCAAACCGTAACGCCATCTATCGGATAGAATCTGAATTACAAATTTCGTATTGTCTATCTCATATTTGTGTAATTTTGTTCATAGACATAAGGTTTATTACGACAAATTTGTAAGATTTTTGTTGGCCAACATTTTACATAGCATGGGGTGAGTAATACTTTGCCGAGAGGTAATACTTGAGCATGGGGTGAGTCGCAACATTCGACTCTGAGTGAAATTCACATGGAAAAACCCAAAGTAATCCAAACGAAATTTGTTTTTCTAGTTCTACCCAAGTCAGTATAATACACTTTTCGAAGAGTGTACACACTCTTCTCACACTCTTCGTTTGGTTTTATTCGACTCCCTTCTCACACTCTTCTCACACTCTTCTTAGTTTTTGATTTTGTTTACTTTTGACATTTTGAAAAAAATGAACGTATACAAAAAAAAAAAATGAATTGGCTGTTGCAACAGCAAATGTCGTTCTGTTGTATTTTCACACAACTGACGAATGCTATAAACGTCTAAAACGTTCTAATATCAAAATACAAACATTACTTCCACTGAAATGTAGTGACAGCAGTGATAGCATTACCGATACCATTACACACTCTCTTCTCACTCAATATACGTGTTTTATGCAAAAGTGTCAGAAGAGTGTGAGAAGGGAGTCGAATAAAACTATACGAAGAGTGTGAGAAGAGCGTGTACACTCTTCGAAAAGTGTATTATACTGACTTGGGTAGTGTCCGTATACATATCATTTGACTGTCGCTTGTCATTGGAATATTTGTACATTTGCACGCAACCATTCTGCTGAGTTCGCAGACTAAACACGGTTTGTTATTAAGATGAAGTTTTGTTACTTCTTAATCAGATGATGATGTTTACTTTTTACTATTGATAAAATAATAACATAAATTGTTTAGTTTCTTACTAAAATATAAAGGCGAAAATGTTTAAGTAGTAAATATTGAAGTTTTCTGTTCGGATCTAGTGCGAATTGCCAACATAATGCACAATCAGATTGAACTTCTTTAGTTGTTTAAAACTTTTTTCCACCCGGGCAAATAATTGGCTAAAATAAAAAGTTGTTTTGGAGACTTGTGTCTATTTTAATTGATGATGGTGCAAAATATCATTAATTTTGTGTTTGCTTGTTTTTTGTATCTTGCATTCATCGTAGACTTGATTTTGATTGATTGACACGAACAATTCACAAACTTATCTGCTATGCACCCACATTGCTTTGTTTCATTAAATATTTCATTGCGATAATATATCTATGGAATAAATATGACAGCATCATGGACGATTTTAATTTGAAGTTTTATGCGCATTCAAACTTTTACGCGACCAAATGGATCGTATTGATCGAATTTTAATAAAAACCGGATAACTGAGCTTCAATTATCATTGTGCTCTTTCATTACAAAATGTGTAAATAAATCGGATCGTATCCATTATTGGAACAAAAATTCTCCCAAATAAATTACATTCGACACTTCGTTGGCTTAAAATACATTTAAATTGGTATAATTATTTACATTTACATTTGTGATTCAACGATTACAACAAAAAAAGAACCATCGTAAGTTATTTCAACATGTTCATGTAATAAATATTTTAGGAAAGTGCACAGTCTAGCATATGGACTTTGTTATTGCAGTTGATGTTTGTTTGCCATTCGTTCACCCAGAGTTTTCCCTTGCACCAAAAAAATACTGAAAATATAATGTGAATTCAAATGTAGTCAAATGTTTCAACTACACATCGGATGCTTAATGCAATTTGGAAACTCCGTCGTCATTGTCATCGATGCGAGAATGAAACTCTCGTTGTTGAACACAGTTTTGGAGTAAATGCAAATCAACTCTTAATGGTTTTTTGTTATCCGGAGATAGTGATGTTGTTGCGTTATATTTTAATTGAGTTATTTATTTATTGTTTGTTATTGTTGAAAAGCATCGGAGAAACTTCCATATACTATGACAAACTCTGAATGATGGAAAAACTCATTCAAATTGATATTGACACATTTAATTCAATAGCTGTGTGTATGCGACGCATAGTACGAGTGCTTGTTTTTATAATGAGCACAACACAAAAACAGATTAAAACATAACAAGCAAGAGCAGCGTATTGTTGGTGCTTTTTACGAGCACTTTCTTTATCAATGGACGCAGTTGCTTGAGGAAATCACATAATCTTACACTTATATCGCTTAATTTCCGAAATTATACGAACTAAACACAAAAATGTATCTCCGTTACTCAACATCGTTACTTAATTATTTTTATTTTTTGAATTTCATTTTTTTAATTGCCTAGTATGTTCTGGAGTCGAGGAAAAGGAAAAAATGGGTCTGTTATCACTTGTAATGTTATCAAGGTCAAATATATGTTATCATGCCAAAAATGACTGGTATAAACAAATCTTCTAGTTTTAAAATGAAATTTTTGATTAAATTGAAACATCAAACAAATTCAATTCGAAATTTGGGCTCACGTCAATTTTGAAAGCGAATTGAAACATTACAGTTGTTTACTATCTTCGACACATCTTAAATCAATAAATGGCGCATGCAAATGCATGTCGGCCTACACATATACTACATATGCTCGTGTACGTTACGAATGCATCGACAACTGAAGACTTCTTCCTAAGTGCATAAAAAAAACAACGGAAATATTTGATTCTCATAAATTGCAAAACATCAGCTATTACCATTCAAAATGCCAACGTTAAAATGTAAAAAGAAATCATTGAAACTATTCCAAGAAATAACAATCATTTTTCGGAAAAATTATGTTCGGTTTAAAGCGCTTTTATTATAGTTTAGGTGCCATTTTAATTACGCGCAAAAAATATATGCTTAGTTGGATACTAAATTGGTTAATTTTCATCAAATTTATTCGTAATAGAAAAAAACATAACAATAATTTTGGTTACGAATGCTAAATTCGGGTTCCGTTCCGCTTAAGTTTTTTTTGTTGTTGCACATTTGTGTTTCGCAAATGTTTGCATTTATCATTAAAACGACTTTAACTTATGATTTAAGGTTATACGAAACATACTATATGACACACATATGTGCCAGTGCCTACGTGCATTTTTCTATATTTTATCGAAAAAAATGTTTGCATCAGCTAATTTTGCATAAACGTTAGACAGAGATAGAGAGAAGGTTGTGCATACACAATAATGACAACTACAAACATCTTTTTAATTAATTACTCGACAAAAAATCGTGATTCAAAATGTTCTCTAATGATTATGATTTTTCCACAAAAAAAAGAAACCCAATGATGATTGCCAACGAAAAAAATGCTTATATTTTTATTATCATTATCACCATTCAGTATCGATTGACTACAGAAAATAATCCCTTTTTCTCGAAATGCAAATAAATATTACAAAACATAAATTATTATGCATTAAAAAAATGAAAAAAGCAATATAGAAACATATAGAAAAAAGAATATGAGATTACGGCATATGAAGAGTAATCAATTCAAATATAACGTGCACATTGAGTGGAAATAACAAACGGAACAAAAGTCTTATGCCTGCCAATTAAACTTTTTTGCATTTGTTGTTGTTTTTTGTTCTCTTTTTGTTTTTGTTCTTTTTAGCGCACAGCTTTCTTTACAGTTCATTGTTCTTAATGAAAAATTGAAATAGAACATTCGGATGGAATGATTCATAAGTTTTATTGGCAATTGTCACATAGACACAAAACTGTCCATATATCACATAAAAAATGTGAATGGAACCAACCATCAACAATAATATCTCATCAAAATATTAATTAAAACGGTTTGAAACTAGCATTGAATGCTAGTGTATGTGTTCCCCATTGGAATTGAATGAAATGAATGGGTTTGTTGTTATGCGTGAATGTGTTGACGAAAATAAGAAGCCGGTCGTCATGATAATAAATTTTGCAGTAGTTCTGTAGCATGCTACACTAGTTAGTTTTTTGTGGCTCACAATTTTTCAGTCGTTGTGATAATCCATATGGAAATACGGGAAAAATTGTAATTTAAAATAAAAAAAATTCCGTTTTACTCTGTTCCATATCATCATCACTTCTGCTGTTCTGACGATTGAGAGAATTGGATGCGTACGTGATATTTGCAGCATATATTATATACGTCGTAGACTTCCTCAGCATTTCTCTGCTTGTACGACGATGAGCCACCAGTGAGCGCATGTATATGTATTTGCTGGTACACAGAGAACGTTAGTCGATTCTTTTTGCTCTCATAAGCGTTTTAATAAATATTTATCTCTCTCGGTTTATGTACTACTCACTTGTGCATTTCGTTTACTGTACGCTAACAACAATCTTTGCGGTTTTTTTTGTTCTATGTAATCAACAATACACCAAAACATACAACGTGCATTACGAATAAGCGAAAGAGGAAAAGAGAGAAAAAAAATCAAGAGATAGACACAGAGAGCATATAGAATGTGAACGTTACGGCATTTGTTGGCTCTTTATCATACCGTAATAAACGAAAATGTTTGGCAATTGTTCTAGAACATTTCTTTGATTTCTTTTCGAATGAATTCAAAAGAAGAAGAAAAAAACGGTTGAAAATCCGCTGAATTGCGAAATCACTTGATGATACTCTCATCACTACACCGAACACTTATTGATCACACATCGAGTACAATTTTACGCATGAAATGGCCAAACATATTTTCAACAATCATAAATTGCACGAATTTTCGAAACTCTATCATTTAAACGATGTTCACATGGTGTTTAAATCAATTAAATTCGATTGATTCATTTGTATAAATAATTTAGCTCAATGTTTTCATTCAGCACAATAACAATTGTTTAGTCAAATGAATGCTATCTATGTTATTGTTGTTCAACGGAGCCGGTTGTATTCAGATTAAATGATTTTTTAAACTATCAGTTCAATAAGAAGTCGTAAAAAAACTCTTTTCAAATGCACACAAATCAAAGGATGTTTTAACAACAAAAATTTAACAAAAATAAATCTAAATAAATGAGAAAAGAAAAAAAAAACTTCACTCACTCGACACATTAACTATCTAACTAATTCGAGCCGAACACCAAAAGTTTACATTTACGACTAATTGACAGTCCGTACAATACAAAACCATATGATGCCTGTTTCGCGCAGACTCTGTTCGCTTGCTCCTCAACATATTGGAATATATGTACACATCACGTTCAATATGATCCCGTATACATAAATACATGCATATGGGCCCTTCGCGCTATGCACTCACACTCATTCAAACGTCAGCCAGCATTTAATATAGACAACGTGTACATACACCATGGAACAAAGACACAAGAATCCATTCGACTCGAATGAAATGTGAGTTGTGTGAATTGTTTTTGTTTTTTGTTTGTCGTCTTCGTTGTCTATTGTGCATTGGTTAATTCACGTTCTCACTTTGATTTCATTCCTGACAATGTTTGTATATTTTTATACCGTCGCAATTGGCAATTTCATTTATGCATAAAGTATTTTCAGCCGGCGAAGACATACAAAAAAAACCCACGCAAAAAACACATTTCCTCATGCATACAGGCACGACCGCATGCACAGTCACGTACACATTCAAAGCGCACCGTCTGCATTTTAGACTGCATTTCACCAATCGATCAAAACAATGGTGCATACATTCTTTACGTGAAACTCAATTCTAACACAGTGTTTTTTTTTTGTGCATTATTGATTCAATTCATTTCACTCACGTTTATTCATCGAGCCTGAGGTAAAAATGTTTGCACACAAAATAAAAATCGTTGGCTGTTCGTTGTTATATTCGAACCGGGTCGATTAATAAAATCTAAACGAAGATCATTTTTCATAAATTTCAATGCATCTTCACCACACTTGCATCGTAATCATGACAGATGAATATGCCCATGAATCCCTTTACAAAAGGCATTTTCACATCCTTATCACTTTAAACATTCAACAGATCTTATTGACATTCTGTTTGCATACATTTGGGCGCTTTTGTCATCCATCACAAAGCTTTCATTCCATATTTATTTCTGGTAAAAAAAAAAACTTTTAAAAATATTCGATTCGAGAACTCAATTTTCAAGATGTGTTTGTATGTGTGCGTTTGTGTTCAACGTATATCCCAGGAATTTTAAATGATATGAAAGCAAAAATGCCGATGTAAAAATTTTGCAGGTCAGTTCAAGCTAATAATTCAATTTAATAGATTAGAAAATTGAAGACCGGTTGCCGATATGGCATTCACAAAGGAAATAAAACTACAATTAGAATGGCATAATCACATCCGAAAAGGCGGAAGTATTTCCTGATCTCACTCACAATCTCTTTTACTCTCGCAAACACACACACATGCATACCAACACTTACCTCTGACACGGCAAATGATCGCTTGGTGAAGACGGGCGTTTGATTTATTAGTAGCAACCGCAACCATAAAACATGAAGAAAACAGAATGCCGTTGAAAATAAAAATGTTGAAGACATTATTAAGAACATAGGCGATTGAGTAAATTTTTCACCAAATAATTAAACATGTCAATTCGAAATGCCTTATATAAAGCCGACCTTAAGCCAATTACAATATCAAACGTGCCGCCGGTTTTTTTTTCTCTCTGTGATTCGAAACTTCTTTTTTCTTCTCTTTTTTGTATTTATCATTATTATCCATTATATGACTGTATTCACAGTCTCCTTTGATGACCACCAAAAAAACTCACTGTAGCCTAGTCTATTTTTCTAAAAAAAACACCACTTTGCACTATTAGGCCCCGAATAATAATAATTTGCAAAATAAGACGAACAAATAACTAGTGCGGATGAAACAAAGAAAATAGTTGATGAAAATATGAATGGAACGACTGAACTTAAGTGATACGACGAAAAAAAAATGTTTGCGTCTTGCCTTGTCTCTATTGGATGGATGATGAAGGTTTGAATAGGTTGGCAGGTGCTGCAAGCAGCAGAAAAAAGATGCTTCCATTGAATCATACGAATTGTTTTGCTGAGATCAATTCACACAAAATCCATTTAGATTCTATATTTTTTCTTCTTGATGAATTATGATCGATTGCGGTTAATCGATTAGGCAAACACTTTTATTCAATTAAAATAAAAGAGAGAAACGTTGATTGTATTGCGATATAGCCAATTGAAACGAAGATCAAAAAGCCCGTTCCGATCATACCTGACCTCTACTGAATGATGTTTTTTTGGTGCATGCATGTCATCACCTAGCATCGGTCTAAATGAATTAACCGCCCGATAAAGTCATTCAAGGAATGAAAGAAAATAAAACCAACACTAATATTTTATGCAGATAGAAACTGCATTTGATAGCAAAATCATCACCAACGAAAAATCAATGACACACAACACGTGCATATCAAATGATGCTGAAACAGAGTAATCAAAAGCGATTTATCAGAAGGCGATAAATACATCGTTTGTTTTATCAGTAAAATATGTTTTAAATGCAAATAAATTATTGTTTTAAATTGAATCGGTGAATCGAATTTGTTTAAAACGAACGCTGCCCAAAAAAAGAGACATAATAACAAACGATTTCGGTTTGATACGCATTTGGTAGCTGCTTGTATTAAATTAAAGTCGCCATAAATACCAGATTACCAGAATACATAAATATTGAATGAATTGTCATGTCGTTTAATCTAAACTTCCATTCAAATCGTTTCTTCTTTTCTTTTTATCAATATTGTATTGCTCTTAATTATATGTCATCCGTTTTGAGAAACCGATGCCACCTCCGAAAACATCAACGCTCGTCATTTGTCGTCGTCTTTGATCTTGGAACATTTGAATTTCTGTGCAACAACAATAAAATACGGCTGGTAGGTGTATATTCACTCAAAACACGATAAGAATGTGTTAATATCAATATATTTTCTTTTTAATGAAATGTATTCCGGTATATACAATATTTTTTTCTTCATTCGTTTCTTGTAAAAATCGCATTAATTAAACGAATCAAAGTCGGCATTTTGCGTACGCTACGAAACACGATTTAAACAGAAAAAAAAATGGGTCTCGCATATTTATGGTACACATTCTGGCGCTTCACAATATGGATATGCGCGCTCGTGCAAAGTTGGTCACATGCTTTACATATTTTTGAAGCGAGAATTTAACTCACGTATATTTATCACAAATTGAATTGGAAATTGTTTAACTCCTTTAATCCGATTTGTGTTGATTCTACAGATCAGTTAATTTATCACCGGAAAATTGACGGGCTGTGTGCAAAAACATGAAGAATCGAGTTTTCTCTCTCTCTCTCGCACGCGCGCAAAAAACAGTGAACACTTGTAAAATTGTCAATCATTGCGAACTGAATTTGACGAAATGTTAAGCGATGTGTATAACTTGATTGATTCTGGAGAAAAAAATGAATTCCAACAACAATTGGGTATTATAAAATGAAATAAACACAAATGTAATCTGTAACAAAAATGCAAAAAACAAGGTAAAATGGTTTTGGTGTATAAGAATGGGAAATTGGCTGACAAAAATGGGGAATTGACCCCCCAAAAAGAGGGAATCGGCTATCAAAAATGGTGCGTTTGGTTGTCAAAAATGGGGAAATGGCTGTCAAAAATGGTGCGTTTGATTGTGACAAATGGGGAATTGGCTGTCAAAAATGTAGCTTTTGGTTGTCAAAAATAGAAAAATTTGGCTGTCAAAAATGGGGAAATTTCCCCCCAAAAATGGGGAATTGGCTGTCAAAAATGCGTCGATAAAAAAAACGAAAAAATGTGTAAAAATTTCTTGAAAGTAAGAAAAAGTAATATTATCCGATGCAATTTGATACTTAAATTACATTATCTTTCTTATGGTTTTTTGTCTTTTCTTCATTTCGTTGTTTCATATTGTTCCCCCGCTAGGGCTATCAATGAAATTCAATTATTCTTTGTTCCATCTGCTCGACAGCCAATTCCTCATTTTCGGCAGCCATATCCTCATTTTTGACAGCCAGTTCCCCATATTTGACAGCAAATTTCTAATTTTTGACAGCAAGTTCCCCGTTTTTGGCAGCCAAATCCCCATTTTTGGGGGGCAATTTCCCCATTTTTGACAGCCACATTTTCCCACTTTTGACAGCCAAAAGCTACATTTTTGGCAGCCAATTACCCATTTTTGACAACCAAACGCATCATTTTTGACAGTCAATTCCCTATTTTTAGGGGGTCAATTCCCCATTTTTGGGGGGTCATTTCCCCATTTTTGTCAGCCAATTTCCCATCTTTGACACACGTTTACCCTTTGCCAAAAAACAACAGAAGTTCAAAAATAAATCTTTCACTGCGATCAGTGTCCACTTTATTGGGAATTTTTGTGATATAGATAAAGCCAAGCATAGGTAAAAAATGTATTCAATTAATTATTTCATTAATAAATGAAAAACTGCGACAGCCGGCACATTTCAAAGGAATCGCCGAAATCGAAAATCTTCAACAACAGAACACCTAACAAATAAAATGGGATCGCATCTATAAAAACAAAACCACACAGTTGAAAATCACACAAGCGGCGACAATAATTCGCCCAAAAATGGTGGAAAAAGTTTAAATGAAATAAAATTATCGACAAAATCGAAACAACACGAAAAACATGATACTCAATCGACATCGTATTTGCATAAATTTCGAAATGGTCATGAATAAACATTCAAAGCACACTCCAAAAAAAAGCATACGTTTAATATATATCCGATTCACCAGAGAGATCTAAATAAAACTGCAAAGGCACTAAATGAAAAAAATCGGTCGACAGAACGGGTCTCGAACATATAAAATCGGATATTATAGGAAGCAATGTAATATTTTACGTCTCGTTATATCGCTTCTTGATTGTTTCTTTATGGAAATATTGCGTTGTTCCACAACAAATCGATTCCAATATTCGATATGTGATCGATTCGGCGGTGTGATGAGCTTTTTCTTGCTCGTTTCTCTCGTTCTCTGGTTGTTGCTGTTTCTCTCTCTCTTCACATCGGTGTTGATTTCAAGTTGCATCAATGATCAGACGAGGTAACCGATTAACCGATGCTATAGTGTGCTGTATCATTTATGATTTCCCATCGTTTTTATTTAGTTATCTTGTGTTATTGTTTCCGTCCTTTTGAAATGCTGTTCTTAGTAC